AACGGTTTCGATTCAATTCTGGTCGTAGTGGACCACGACCTTACAAAGGGGGTAATTTTCATCCCATGCAACAAAACAATTGATGCTCTTGGGACGGCAGACACAATGTACTGAGAGGTCTACAAGTGGTTTGGACTCCCAGACAAGATCATCAGTGACCGAGGACCGCAATTTGCGTCCAAAGTCTTCCAAGAACTTTGCAAAATGACTGGGGTCCAATCAGCCATGAGTACGGCATTCCATCCGCAAACCGATGGTGAGACAGAACGAGTAAACCAAGAGCTGGAGATCTACCTCCGCTGCTTCACTGCCAATGATCCGGATAAGTGGGCTGACCATCTTCACACTGCGCAATTTGCTCACAACTCCCGTGAGCATTCCACGATGAAGACATCCCCATTCAAACTCATGATGGGATACGAACCTCGCGGAATACCCACCACGCACCCCGGATCAAACACGCCGCAAGCGGCTTATCGCCTCAAGGATCATGTAGGACAGTTGTGTGTGAGGCACTGCCGCGCGGTTTATCAGCAGGTAGTACCAGGTTGCGCCAATGGCCAGTATGTCGGAGACGATGGTAGAGACTCAACTAGCTATCAGAACTTGTAGAAGGCATCAATCAATGAATGTAGGGTAGGCTGATTGAAGATGACTAACATCTGTGAGCCATAGTCAGTTATCACGGAGCATCTGTATGTGAACGCAAGCGGAAAAGACTCATGCTTCAAACTGGTCGGGGCTTCTTATAACATGCTGCCTACACTGTTGCAATTTGGTGCTCCAAACTTGAGGAAATGCCATGAGGGTGTACTTGACACTTGGTTCAGACAATGATTGCTGGCAATGAAAGAAGTATCCTTACCAAGTTAGTCCCAATGGGTACCAGTCCCAATAGCAGCACCAGCATCACTAGATACCAGTTAGCACTGCTCACAGCATGTGTACAAAGAGCTGTGATGGCTAAGAATTAGAAGAATCAACACATGGATGTCACCTCAAAAATCTGTGCACCTTACCCACTGCTAGACTGATGGATACAAGATCAATCACTGCTGTGGCATACTGGATGCCTATGCATCTACATAAAAATGTGAGACGATGAGGGATTAAATCATTACAAAAATATGACCTTTGCATGATATGTAATCAGGACACTTCTTCAGGTCAAACACGAAGACGACCTACTGGTGTAGATATGATCAGAAGAAGCCCAACTAGGATAGCGAGACTCAACAAGGTGATTCGGTTGACTATGGAAAGGAACGTGGAGAAGGCCCAGCAGGATCACATGAGGTGCAGATCATCGGCAGCCATTATGAGACTATCCCAGATGATAAGAGCTGAGGAAGCGGCCGGTCAGCATATAATTTTGACAGCAATGGAGATGGATTGATGTACTAATATATGCACAGGTGATGCAATTATCATTGAAGCTTTGTTATGGAGACAGGCCTCGTCAGATCTCCAGAGTGAACGGGCTCGGCTAGAGAGGACTAACTTGAGTTCATATGATTGGAGCTCGGACCCTGTCATTGCAAATGCCTCGAACATTGTGGTGCACTCCTGGAGTTTAGCGATGCAAGAGCTGAGACTGTAGGGCATTGATTGAGGACGAGCCCCTGTTTATATCGTGTATTGAGTATTATGTCGTTATATGCGACCAGTGTGGCACATCGGTGCATGGTGCACCGCATGCTGCAGAGTTAGCTGCCTAGCCTAACTGAGACTAACTGTCCTCATTCCTGAGTTGTAAAGCGTGGCTGCTCCGACTTCAAGATGGCTGTTACGCTAGCGGCAATCATACTGAAAGACCGTGAGTACGCAAATAAAGCACTTTGACACGACGAATGTCTTGCTGACCAAAATAAACTTGTCAGGTTGACAGATACCTGCTGCAGTCCGCCCACCACCATGTGCTTGTATCAAGTCACAACACGCCAGCAAACTCCCTTGAAAGCACGATGTAGCATCATGCATATCATAGTGCCTCTGAGCACCTGACTGATATTCATAAGGACCAAAATTGAATCACAGTTCCTTTAATCAGTGATTACGCCATTCAATTACAATGTGAGACGAAAATCATAACCATGGTGTCTGCACATACTGCGAGTAGTTGGCAACATCACACTTGAGCGGTGGTCTCTGTCCCTATCAAACCTCGATCGCAAATGCACCTCCACGTACCAGCCTCATGTAGTGCCATTGCGCAGCATGATATGTATAGTCTGCTGTGAGAGCTCGAAGGATCTGTGCTGGCAGACCCCGACTCAGCATCATGCAAACCTTATTGATCACGTGGGTGGGGCGCGACGAAACCACAACAATGTATACCCAGAATTTCCTGCATTTACAAATTTCTTACAGTGGGGTTTAAATAACGCAACGGCACATTTTTTTGGATCAAGCGCGCTGTATAGCCGCCACCCGGGTAACACGCGTCTATGTGCGGAACATATATATAAGCGAACGGCCGCAGCTCCCGAATGGAAGTGCGCGAGCATGGCGCTGTTTGTAGCTTGCCGCATGAAATGAACAAAAATAATTTTAAGGTGGTATCTGTGGATAGTATTCACGGTCAGAGAGCATGACAGAAAGCTGTGGCGGATCAACATACCGGGAAGCGTATCATCGGATGGGCTTCAATTGAAGGGTCTTTGCCGCAGCAGCACGCACTGAACGATAAGTCTGAATGGGGTATATCTGTAGGCAGCGGTCATTATTAAAAATGGTGTGAACATTTTGGAGGGACGCACCAATGGGTATCATCAGACGACGTAGTACGAAAGCCGAGAGGCAGTGCTTGTTTGACGGACAACGATAACAGTCAGTTGCGAATGCGGTGGGCGTTGGGCATGACGTTTGAGGGTAACCAGAATAGGATGGATAACCTCGAACATTTGATATCGAGGTGGCGGATGTCGATGATGTCCGGGTGTTGCCGAACGATGTGGCCAGGACTGCAGGCGGGGTTCGCGTGCAACACAACGGCCGACATTGACCTCCACATACTTGTCAGGATTCCTGTTACGCCGGCAATCGTTGTCGAGCTGAGAAGAGCGCACAGTACTCTCGGTGAGTTGCATCCACCCGGGATTTGCGCCGAGAGCAGACTTAGTGGTCGTGCTGGAAAGACGACTCGCGGATGACTACAGCTGTTCGAACTGGCTGCACAGGTCGTCCACCGAGGGCCCGCTGGCTGCGCCATCATCTAGGTCGTCTGGCGTCTGGTGGGCCATCTCCTCGGCTGTCATGGCACTGTGAAGGTATGTGGATGAATAACAAAAAACAGATACAGTTTCCGGACATACCTGGGGCCAGGGACGGATGAAAGCGACCTCGGGGCTTGGCTATGTGAGGCCGCTGAGGATGTGGGCCTGTGCAGTTCTACAATCGGTTGCTCCATTGCGCGCATCGCCGTCTCAGCCTTCCGTCTCTCAGCCTCCCGTTTCTCAGCATCCTGCCTATCAGCATCCTCTGTCACTTCCCATGCCGTCTTCCGACCTCTAAGGTTGGCGAACTTCCTAGCCTTCTGCTGCTCTGCTAGTTCCTGCGTCCTAGCTGCCCGTCGCTCCTCGCTCCCCTGTGCCGCCTCTAGCTGTGTGCTAGCGCCTCCCAACCACCCCTCGTTCCTGTCGCCCCAGGCATTGAAGGATGCCGACGAAGGGCCTGACTCGCCCGTCTCGGTGTCCAATAATGTAGATGCGATCGACACGGACTGTGATGCATGTGCGATCGAACGTGTCTGGTATGGCGTATTGGCGAACCTGGATGCCCTTGTCTTGAGTGGCTTCGACCTGTCCACGAGAGCCGATACACCTGGCGCGTACGTGGGTGGTGGTGCCAATATGTCCTCGTAGTCGTCAAGTTCAAAGGGCATAACCATGGGCATAAGCCCCAGATCAGTGAATCCGAGGGGCGGCAGCCCGACGTCCAACTGGTCGTCGATCTCGTCGACGGAGGGGGCAAGGTAGGTGCGTAGGGCGTCCTGGATGCGTTTAGCATCTTCGACGGCTTTGAGGATTATGTCTTGGACATCCTCCTCTCGTACATATTCTATTATCGGTACATCAGCGCGTACATCGGCGCTGGCTGCGCTGATGTCGACGTTGGCCTGTTCCTCGTCCTCGCTGTCTCTCATTGTCTCTCCGAGCGCCATTTCACTGGCATTTTCTAGTTCGTCGGCAATCTCATGTCCAGTCGGCTCCTCCATCGCATGGTCGTCTTCGATCGCAAGAGTCAGTGCCGATGACAAGGCGGGCATCTGGACGTCAAGCCCATTGATCGATGACAGGTCGAATGCGCTTTCCTGCGTTAGATCGACAGTTGCTGCTTCATGCATCAGGAGGTCGACGGGTTCGGCCGCGATGGCTACTTGCGGGACCATGCTGGTGCTCGCGACTGTAGACTGGTGGACCTAGAGACATTACGAGTGCGAATATGCATGTGAGTCTGATATTCATATATCAGCTAGGTGGCAAAGACTCACGTCTGGCATGGGGAAGGGCTCGGGCGTGCGTTGAGCAGAGTAGTCGGCGCTCATGGCCGGGGTATAGTGGACAGATGAGCTTGCATCTGGGGCGAAGTTATCTGCCATCTCTTCGTCCCTTTCCGATATGAACATGGCATCGGGAATGTTCATTCGGTCTTCAAGAGGCTGCCGGTAGCTATGGGATTGTGGCGGCATCCATGTCGCCACATTCTGAAGGACAGCCTGTGCTTGTGCGGCGTTCTGTTGGACCCAGGTCAGCCTATTGTGGCAGGGGGTGAGTGTTTGGCGATTTACCAGTTGTTCGCGCCAAGGCAGCGTGTCTTCTGGGGTGGGCCTCAAGCTTTTGAAGCATGTGACGCCACATCGCATACATTGTTGGGACATCCGCCGCTTAGGAGCTTTCTGCTTCCTCACAAAGAGAAGCGGTGTCTTGCGGCGATGGCCAGACTTATGTGCGAGTCGTGGCGTCGTGGCGGGATCCTGCATTGTGTGGCAGGCGCAAAATTCGGTGGCGAAGAAGGCTCAGATATCAGAAAGGCGGACAGTCCGAGGCGTGGGTACTTACCACGACCTCGCACCGTTGTCGCACTGCAGAATGAACATCATCGTGCACATTCTGGTGCATGCTGATGATATCCGCTACCCTGTGGCGTTTTGTGCCGGTTGAAGCGTCGCGAGGCGTGGATCGCGGGTCCGATTCGAAGACTCGCTCTCCGTGTCGGATCTGACGATTGCGCTGGCTGGACTCGGTGGTCAATGTGAGATCGTTGAGCAGCCCGTCAGCGAAGGCGGCGCCGTACCCCATTGTCAGGTAGTTTCGAACGAACGCGATGCATTTGTTCATGGTTTGTTTGTGATCAGGAGTGTCCATTGTGAGATAGGGGTGCTGTGTTTGTTTGTTGTGATTGGTTATGCTGGTGGGGGTGGGGGTGGGGATTGAAGAGAAGAGGAAGGTAGAGGTCAATGCGTTGAATGCTGCAGCCAGTGCCACACTCCGGACGTTGCCGCAGTTAAAGGCGCGACGCGACAATCGGATCACGTGGTCCGTGTGTGGCCAGTGCTCGGCGCTACCGCTTGCTCGCTCTCTGCGCCCACCAAATAGGGATGCATTCCGACACGGGCATCTACAGAGGACTGGATGGAATGTCTCTGCAGGTGTCTACAATTTACAACTCAGACTCCGGTGTCTTACCAGCTTTTCCGAAAGGTGTTTAATGTATGTGTCATACATCACAGATAATAATCTTTGTCGATGCGTGCCTCTCAAGTGCATCCCACTGATCCAGGGAGGTGAGTGTTCGGGATGAGTGCGACAGCGTCGCTAGATCGGAAACCGGCAAGCCATTAGCTCGAGCTCTCATTGTCGTCGTATACAATCCAGGCATTGATGGGCAAGCACGGTTTGTCAAACACACAGCGCATGTTTCGCTGGATCTTGCGACGACCTTGATGCATGGATCCAGCCTAGACTATTGACTGCTTCAAACTAGATGTGTGACACATTACAGATCCCTGCGTGCCATTAATTGGTGCTCCAGCATGGAGAATCACATCAACATGAAATATGGCTAAACAATGCTTGATCACTCGATTTGGTGCGAAGGCGGCCTTTTTCAGGCTGTTCACAGGTCTTCCGGCCGCGATTCCTAACTAACCTACCACGTCAAGTAAGGCACGTCGTATCGCTTCTATCGCTTTTGCCTCTAACGAAGGCCGACTCGGACGCGAGTAGCGATTGTTCGCCGTCGTCGAGTGTGAATGGGCGCATAGCTCTTAACCTTTAAACATGTCTATGCATCTGGAAAGCGTACCGAGTCCTTTTCTTAAAATCGAAGTCTGCTTATGCTTGAGAGGCTGTACATCAGTGTGGGCTGTTGTGATTCCTTGACATCTGCGTTCAATGTGGGGCTGACTCCTTTTGTCACTGTACACGAATGGTTCAACAATTACTTATCGCTAAGACCAATTGCCAATTGGGCTACGATTGGATGCCTATTTCCACGCTTGATGTTGCGTGCAGCCGGATAGTAGATTGTCTCATGTACTTGTATTGTCTATTTCTTCTTTTCGTTGCCAATTTAACACACGTGCGTCTTGACGACGCGAGTACTGTTTCCTCAGCCCATAACAAAACACCAAATTCAGCTGACATCGCTTTTTTTCCACCATGGCGAAGTCTCGCAAAGCCAGCAAGAGGAAATGTGGTGGGTGCGGCCAGAAGGGCCATGGGAGCAATGAGTGCACCAAACACAATGTAAGTTCTTTTACATGAGGACAATTCTGCTACTAAGGATCGTTGTTGCACTATGTAGACATGGATCTGCAAGAACTGTGCAGAAAGCGGGCATGGCCATTGGGAATGCCCGAAACCTCACGGGTATTTACGAATACCATGCCCGCATTGTGCACAAGTCGGAAATCATACCGAAAGGTGTAGGAACAAGTCTGTAAGCCACAGTCCCTTCATATCCACAGTTCCGTCCTTATACTCTGGCTTGAGCCAGATAATCAAGTGCACAAACTGTAAACAGACCGGGCACACTCACACGACATGCTCCAAGCCCACAGGCTATGATCAACGACTGAAATGCGGGTTGTGCAGGAATAATGGACATCATAGGAATGCATGTCCTGCCCGTCAGTGCGCGGTAAGCGACATACTTTATTTCGCTTCTCTGCAGAACCTGATTGGTCTCAGCAATGTTACTTATTCGGACATGACATGGCTTCCTGTCCCAGTGGACTTCAGGCCAATGCGATCAACTGCGAGAGCTGCGGTGAAGAAGAACATTTGTGAGCATCCAGCGTTTGCGTTATAGTAGAAATGATTCATATTGACACAAACATATCGTAGTCGTCCTCGATTCTCCAAATCGTGGGAAGCTAGGAACAATAAACCGGATCCAACGGCCACATATTCGTGGTATCCAGACAACGGGGAGAGCACCACAGGATATGCTCCGCGATGGTTTGTTGCCCGCCATATCTATATGCCCCTTGTGAGGGCTTGCTGATGGACTTGTACTCAGGTACTCGGAGTCCGTGGAATCCGACAACGATCAGGAGACACCCGTCGTGCCTCTCGCTGCTAGAGCGAGAGCTGCCTGCGCCACGGAGAACTTCGCCTTGGCCGTCTCGCTTTTCGCGCAGGCTATCGGTAAAGTGAGCAAATATCAGTTATCCTCAGGCTTTTGATTGCTTTGTGCAGCATCGGACCCTCATGTCGCCTCACATTATACGGAGCGAGGCATTGCCTACGCTCAATCTAAGAAGTATGCATGCGCTATCGGGGACTTCCAGACTGCGTCGTCGAAGGCAGACTACATACCATCCCCCTTGATATCCTTTTGGACAGCAAAATGTCGCTTCTACCTGGGTTCTCATGCGTCTGCTCTATTCGCTGTTCGAGACGTGCTATCCTTAGACCCCGATTACACCGATGCGCTTGCACTGAAGCGGCGCTTAGTGGAATTGCAGAAGCATATCGAAAGCTATCATGCTGCTCGGAAGCGCCAACACTGGAAATTGGCTAGGGCAGCCTATGAGTCGTGCTTAGGCATTTACTCCGAGGAAGATTGTGATTTACCTGTCGATATTCGATGCTGGAATGTCGAGTTACGCATGGCCGAAGCCGACTGGAAATCAGTAGTGTCTTCCGTTGAGTGAGTCCAGCCTACGTCACGACCATCCATGTTGGCTCACAAATGACGGGATCAGACGTCTGATGCACAAGGAGCCCAAGTCGACCGAGGTGATGCTCTTGCGAGCTCGAGTGCTCCTTCTCACTGCAAAGTTGACGGATGCTCTGGCCCAAACCATGACCGTCCTAAAGTTGGACCCGGACGACGCAAATGCGAAGGAGATACGAACGCGCCTCAAAGGTATCATTAGGTCTCAGAGCGAGGGTGGGGTCCACTTCCGCCACGGCCGCTGGATTGATGCCATCCGTGAATGGGACGAAGCATTGCATGTAAGTCAACGTCCGCTCGAATGTAACCGCGTCTCTGCTGAAGTAGCTACCACGTTATCCGCAATGCTAACCTGACTGGATATGCGCGCAGTTGGTCGGCGACAAGGCCGAAGAAGGGAACGGTGGGATCATCCGTGCGACGTTGTTGCGAGGCAAGGCTGAAGCGGAGTTGAACGTACGTTCTTGTTCGCCGATAAGTGCATGTCTCTTAAAGCTGCTCGTAGATTGGGAACTACTCCGACGGCATCAAGCATGTTAATATCGCCTTAGAGCTAGATGCGACCTACGCCGAGGCTTTGTTAACGCGTGCCCGAATCAATGTCTCGCTCGAGTTATACGACGTGGCAGTGGAAGGCTTCCGAGCGGCCTTGCAGCTCGGAAAGCTCACTATGCCCGTGTTGGTCCTGTCGAGCGTTCAAGAGGAATTAGACGCGGCCGAACAGAAGGCCATAAACGAACGTAATAAGGAAAAAGACTACTACAAGATCCTTGGTGAGTGAGGCCGACGATGCTATGATTTGGTGTGTGTGAGTGGGATATTAAGGATCCCCTAGGCCTCCAAGAGGATTGCACGATGGCGCAGATACGGAAAGCGTACCACCTTGAATCGCTGAAGCACCATCCAGACAAGGCTAGTTGACATGTTGAAAGCTTAGTGACTACAGCGCTTACATCGCTTGTGCAGGGTGGTATTGAGGAGAAGTTCAAGCTCGTAGTGGAGGCCTATACCACTCTCTCCGATGCTGACTCCAGGGATGCCTACGACTTCAAACTCGCCAGAAGCAGGGCTACCATGAACAATCCTCCAGATTACACAGACTACGATTATGAGGGGAATTACGAGGAGTTTGGATCTACAGCGCGGGACCGTGGGTGGTGGCGATGAGCTGAAGCATTGGATTACAGATGTATAATCTCGTGCGCTGTCGAGTATCGAGAAACAATATTCAAATTCCGCTATCTAATAGGAGGCAATATTGGGAGTACTTATGTCGATCAATCGAGAATTTGAAAATGGACATAGCAGTGATGTCACGTGGGAAATTCATATTTTTGTGACTCGCCATCGCGTGCAAATGCGCATCTTGTATCAATTTCTCGCCGTCTCTCGTGCTCGAATACCAAGACCGCAACTCCAGCGACATCGTTTAGGATATCGAACAATGTCCGAGTCTCCTGCCGCGTCAGGGACATCCACTCCCACCGCGGGAGGCCCTAATCCCAATTCGAAGAGCGCAGGTATGTGCTTTAGTCTGTCCTGGATAAATAACTGCACAAGTCGCCGTTCACAGCCAAGAAGGAAGCGAAACGACTCGAGAAGGAGGCCAAATATGCCGCCAAGGCTGCGAAGGTGACGGCTGCAACTCCGGCCAACGAGAAGAAGGCGAAGGTAGAAAAGGTGAAGGAGAAAGAAAAGGTGGAGGAGGAGGCACCGTTCGTGAACACCACACCTAAGGGCGAAAAGAAAGGTACGCCTATGCCAATTCCCGGACGACGGCAGACTCACTCCACCCGTCACAGATCTATCCCTACCAATGTCCAGCACCGGCTACAACCCGATCGCGGTGGAGGCCGCTTGGTACGACTGGTGGGAGGCACAAGGATATTTCAAGCCGCAACTGACCGCCGACGGAAAGGTCAAGCCGGAAGGCGTATTCGTCATCCCTTTGCCTCCCCCAAATGTTACCGGAAGCCTGCACATCGGCCATGCGCTCACGGTCGCTATCCAGGATACATTAATTCGATGGTACGTACGCGGTCCGATCTGGATACTTGCTGTTATGAAGGTACTACGCACGCAGGAATCGGATGTTGGGGAAGACGACACTGTTTGTGCCAGGGTATGATCACGCCGGTATATCAACACAGTCTGTGGTCGAGAAGAGACTATTTAAGGCGACTGGCAAGACGCGACATGACTTGGGACGAGAAAGATTCATCGAGACTGTTATGGACTGGAAGAACGAGTGCGTCGAATGACTCTGATTTGGACGTCATGCTGACGATGACATCAGCTACCAGGCCAGGATCACGAATCAGCTTCGTCGCTTGGGAGGAAGCTGTGATTGGGACCGTGTCGCGTTCACTATGGATGAGGTCAGTGCCTCCATTTCATCTAGAGCTTGTTCTGATTATATTCCCTTCTCTAGAGTCGCTACAAAGCTGTTATAGAGAACTTCTGTCGTTTGCATGAGGACGGGACTCTCTATCGCGCCAATCGTCTCGTCAACTGGTGTGTTCGGCTCAACACCACTCTCTCTAACCTCGAGGTACATCTCATGATATCTCGAAGTCTACCACACGTCAACCCTTGTTGCAGGTCGAGCAGAAGCAGCTGACCGGTCGGACTTTGCTGAATGTCCCGGGCTATGACGCGAAGGAAAAGTTCGAATTCGGTGTTATAACATCGTTTGCGTATCCGCTCGAGGGCTCAGGTGAATGCATCGACCATCACGTTAAGTGCGGTCTGACCTTCATACGCAGATGAGAAGATCATCGTTGCGACGACGCGTCCCGAAACGATGCTGGGCGATACCGCGATTGCTGTCCACCCTGATGACCCTCGGTACAAGGTGCGGCCGTCTTCCGTTGTTCCTCTAGTTCACAAGTTGACTTTGCAGCAGCATCTGCATGGGAAGTACGCCGTACACCCTTTCCTCGACCGGCGGATACCTATTATCACAGACTCGATTGTCGTGGACATGGAATTCGGCACGGGTGCGGTGAAGATCACGCCTGCTCACGATCCTAACGATCACGACGTTGGCGTTCGGCATAATTTGCCGTTCATCAACCTGTTAAACGACGATGGGACATTTAATGACAATGCCGGTCCGAACTTCAAGGTAATCTTCAATCCCGTTGCGAACGGGTGCGGAACTCACCGCCCAGCCGAATCTATAGGGCATGAAGCGGTTCCATGCTCGCGTAGCTGTCGTGAAGGCACTGCAGGACGCAGGTTTGTATATCGAGACGAAGGACAACCCCATGCAGATCCCGATTTGCAGGTATGTGCACCAGCACAGTTTACCTCCAACGTCAGGACTCACTACACTGCTAACACAGCAAATCTGGCGATATCATTGAACAAGTGCTGAAGCCACAGTGGTGGGTGAACTGCAAACCGCTCGCCGAGGAGGCACTAAAGGCAAGTGTCCTAAAGCCGTAAAGCCGTACTATGAATGTTGCTGACGGGTACATGTAGCGCACAAGAGCCGGAGATCTCACTATCACGCCTAAATCATCGGAGGCGGAATGGTACAACTGGCTCGAGGGCATTCAGGATTGGTGTATTTCCCGTCAACTCTGGTGGGGTCACCGATGCCCCGCATACTTCGTACGGATCGAGGGGGTGCAGCAGGATGTCCGTTATCATGTTCCTTTGATGTGGAGACATCCTCATGATCCCCCTTCAGACCTCAGATGGGAAATATTGGGTAGTTGGCCGGACACTCGAACAGGCGACCGAGCGTGCCAAGAAGCTGGCCAACGGTGCGAAGTTCACATTGGAGCAGGATGAGGACGTTCTAGACACATGGTTCTCCTCTGGCCTCTGGCCATTCTCTATCATGGGCTGGCCAGAAGACGTAAGTCTGAGTCACCGCATCGCGTCTGACCGTCCTAATTCCCATTCTGCAGACTTTCGACTACCGAGAATTCTATCCTGCGTCAGTACTCGAGACTGGCTGGGACATTCTCTTCTTCTGGGTTGCACGAATGGTGCTTCTCGGTATCCACCTCACAGGCAAGATGCCGTTCAAGGAGGTATTCTGTCATGCTATGATTCGCGATGCGCACGGACGGAAAATGAGCAAGTCTCTCGGGAATGTCGTTGATCCGATAGATGTCATCCAGGGTCTCCCCCTCGAAGAGCTGCACGCGAAGTTGTACGAGGGCAATCTCGACGAGCGCGAGATTGCAAAGGCAAAATCGGGCCAGAAGAAGGACTACCCCAAGGGCATCCCCCAATGCGGAACCGATGCACTGCGCTTCGCGTTGTGCGCGTACTCGGGTGGAGGTAATTTGTTCCCTGTTTCCCCATGTCTGACTGGCGTTGAGATTCATGATATAGGCCGTGACATCAACCTGGAGATTCTTCGTGTCGAGGGCTACAGGAAGTTCTGCAACAAGATTTACAATGCAACCAAATTCGCGATGCTCAAACTGGATGAGCAATTCGTACCCGAGCCCACGGCGAAGCCTACCGGCAATGAGAGCATCGTCGAGCGTTGGATTTTGCACAAGCTCAACGTTGCCGCTCGGGATGTCAACCAGCAGTTGGAGCAACGTAACTTTATGGCTGCTACAAACACTGCCTATAACTTTTGGTTGTATGAGCTGTGCGACGTATATATTGTGAGTGGATTCCGGCTGGGAAAGGAAAGTATAAGTTAACCTTTTATTTTGTTCAGGAAGCGATGAAGGTCATGACTGACGAGTCTGCATCACCGACAATGCGTAGATCGGCGCAACAGACACTCTACACGTCCCTGGATCTTGGCTTACGCCTGTTGCATCCATTCATGCCCTTCGTTACGGAGGAGTTGTGGCAGCGTCTGCCTCGTCGGCCGAATGATCCTACCCAATCAATCATGTTGTCAGCATATCCCGTCTTCGTATGTTCTTTGATACTATCAATCCTTTGACTCTTCATTGACATGGCACCTGTTAATAGAACAGCTCATCTGTCTTCGAGGACGCGTACAGGGATTTCGAGCTTGTGTTCTCAGCGATCAAGACTAGCCGTTCATTGGCCGCATCATACAATCTGCAGAGCGATCTTCAGCGTGTGTATCCCCACACCGTTTGCTAAGCTTATAGCTCATGTATGCATACACCGACAGTGTTCGTTCGTGTACAGTCTGAAAACGAGGTTGCGCTCTTTGAGAGCCAAGTACCAACCATCCTGGCATTAACGAAACACGGCAAGTCTGTGAAGATTGTGCGGACACCGGAGGACATACCTGCCGGGTGTGGTTCCGCCGTGCTGACGCCTACCGTCGTGTTGCATGTCCTCGTTAGGGTGAGTGCCTTGATGATGGCCGTCGAAATGCCGCATTAACAGTGACCGCAGGGTCAAGTGGATTTGGACGCCGAGATTGTGAAATGTCAGAAGAAACTAGATTTCGCACGCCTGAACCTAGATAAGATCCTAAAAACGGAGTCGCAGCCAGATTATGAGAATGTCGTTGCGGCGAACGTCCGCCTGTTCAACGAGGAGAAGGTGCGTTGCGTCCACAACCTTGAGCTAGTGTAATCAGCTGATTGTATCGATGTAGCGGAGAACACTGGAGGCTGATATTGCCAATCTGGAGCTGTCAATACAGATGTTCGAGAAATTGAAGTAGACCTACTCTCTACGTGTACCACCAGACCACTGTGTGCTTAGGAGTTGACAACTTCATACGCAATGTCAAACCTTCCCTCACCTATTCTGAGCTATCTTGTTCAGAACCTCCAGCGTCAAGGGCGATGGCAAGAGCGAAATAGCGTAGGCTACAATACAAATATAATCTACAGCACAAGGGTAAATCAGACATAGCCAAGCATAACGACTGCAGAGTGTGCACGCTTCTGACAGCGATGGGAAAGAATGGAAAGAATACCATGAGGCGTAACACGCCATTAACCATACCATTTTTGTCCAATGCGCATCTCCGACTTGGGCCTCTGAGGAACGATAGACTCTGTGATATTAAATACCTCGATTGCGCGCTGGAAATCATTGAAGATGCGTTTTCAAGGTGTCAAGCGCAGATAGCGAGGACGCTTACCCGCCATGTCGCCATGTCAAACTCCATCACAAGCTGTTGCTTCCTGAGGCCCGCACCATAATCTTCCTCTGATGGCTGTTCACAAACAACTGTCGCAATGCAATTCAAAAGGGGCGCCTCGCATGAACACGCCGAACCCATGTGAAGACGAAGAACGCACAGACGATAGGCTCGCCTTCCTCGCTTATATCCAGCGCGACCTTACCGTCCCTAATCAAGAAGGAGAGATAGAACATGTTCTCAACCGATTGCCCAAAATCGTTAGGATTGACGATAAATCGGAATAAGTTTATTGCCCCTTCTTGTTGCGTGAGAATCTTCTCAAGCTAGAGGCAGATGTCAGCGCGACGCATTAAACACATTACCACTATGAGGAACGCACAGCTGCGACGTTCTTCGTTGTCTCGTTCTCCGACCGGGTGATGTCGTCTTCGGTGATCTCCTGTGGCTTTTTCATGTCGCGCTTGTCCTTCTCGAGTTTGGCTCGTTTTGCCACAGCCCGTTTCTTCTGTTCAATTGATAGGGGGCCCAGCCTAGACAGATAGTCACATAATGTCACGCGCACGAAAAGGCATTTCGCACATGAAGTCCATGACAGGTACCCTGTGGCTTTTCGCTAGGGCACGGCGTCCAATGCAATCCCAATCAAGTGGCGTGTCATCATAATGTTCCTCGACGACATCTGAATCCGAGTCATCGGGCATCGCTACACCCTTGCGGCCGCCCATGAATGTGATGAGACGCGCAACGAAGTCATCGACGTCAAACGCGCCCGCGCCCGACTTCATGGCGCGCGCCTTGGCCGCACCCATCTGTGTCGCTGCAAGAAGGAACGCCGAGTCCAGCGTCGCTTCCGAAGTACCCTTCACTGCGATAGCGTCAAGATATGACGATTAGTTACCATACGCGACGTACCGCGGTTGAAGAGGTCATCGGCACGGTGCACCTTCTCAACCAGCTGGTCTGCAGTCAGATCATTCGGGTTGGTATCTACAACAAACGTGTTATACGCAATCAGACCTCTTGCCAAGCATGCTCACCCTCGGTGGTTTCTTTGTGCAATGTACGGTAGTCACGACGTAAGTGGCGCTTCTCCTCTGGATCCTGGTCAGGATCATATGCAATATCTTTCTGCTTTCTTGAAGAGCCCGCGCGCATACTGTATGCTTCAACCTGAACCAACGCGGGAACGCGTCGCGGATCGTGGTCGCGATTGTGGCGAAGAATGAGAGACTGTCACGCGAAAGCTCGACGGTCACAAATCACGAGATATTGGTCACGCGCTTATCACGAGCTTACAGTCACAGACACACGAGTTAAGTACTTGCGATACACAATTCGGAGCAGCAGACACTGTGTCCTTCGACACATTGTCTTACAAGTATCATGATATGACGCTATCATCGCAAGAGTTATCGACAGTGAGCTCGCAAGTAAAATAAGGTGCCAAATCTTTCTCGGCCTCCCATGTCTTGTAACAGCTGCATCTCAATTGCATTACGCATTTCACCCCGCCACCTCCACACGGTGAATGTTTTCCACGGGCGAATATTGGTCCTTCGCGCCGCATAGTCCGCGGAGCTCGCGTGCACAGTCGGCACCGGGGCCTCGTGCCTATCTGCCCGGCTTACACGTCCATCAACATCTAGTATGCCATGTTCCAATGTCCTTGGATCCGAGACATCTTCCATGGACTGCGTGTGGTCCCCTGGTGCAAGTTCCTCATGCCCATTGATGAGAAGGGACCCATGCAAGCTGCGTGAGGTGCCCGGTGGTATCAAAACACCGAGAGTGTAAGTGCGCTGATCAATTGAATCGATCTGGAGCAAAGTCAGTCGCTGCGGTCCAAACGGGGGGGGGGGGGGGACCGTAGCCGGTGGGACATACTAGTACATCCTTTTCTACGACCAGCTGCAAATCGGGGAACTCTCGGCGGTAGGAGAGGATATCACCTTCTTGCAATAGTCCTTGTTCGGCCAAGGTGCTCATATCGATCCGCTGCGGACTTAATCGTCCGTGAATAAGTTCATTGCTCCCCAAAAACTGCGATCTGCGCAATGCGCATATCTATACGTACCGCGCTTCTCGGGACGGATGTTCGCGCAGCCAGGCATCATCTTTCCACTCCGCATGCAGATCGCCCTCTCGGACGCCCACGGTGAACTGGTCGAGGTTTTCTTTTGCTTTCTTGCCGAACCAGCCGGAGAATAAGTGGTCCTGGAACGTCCGCGCAGCAGAGAGGAAGAAAGGTGAGGTAAAAGTCGTAGGGTCTAGTGTCGCTGTGCTTTGTTCTTGAAATTCTGGCTGCGGCACAGTCGGCGCTTGGCGGGAAGACTCTGCAGGTTGTGGGTCTTCATCATTCACGGATGTCATGTTATTTGTGGGCGATGCGTTCGCTGTATTGCTGGATACTGCGTAATCGACATGCGTGGGAGGTATGGTTGGGCGGAATGTATAGAACGATGTGGGCGGCAGCAGGGCCACGAGCAGATCTTGCGACTCAGGGGACAAGTCTAGGAAGTTCTCGTAATTTAGGACATCCTGTTTCAAATTAACACGGTAAGAATGCGCAATATCAGCGCGCTGTGCAGCGCTCACAACGTGACACGCACGGCACAATCTATCTTTGTGAGCTTGCTCTTTGGGTTCATGAGAAGAGCTGACAGCTTGTCGGTTTTGTCCTTATCGGACTGTGGTTCCTTCCACTTGACGCGGAATTTCGATGTGTTCTCTGATGTTGAAAGGGTGACCGGGGCCTTGGCAGGCGTACGTGTTGAGCGACGTGGGCGACCGGCGATGTTCAGTTCGGACATGACCGCGGTGACTGAATAACAATTATAGTCTGGCATCAGTCACATTGTGTGTGATTAGACAGGATAGGCATAATACCTTCAACGCTGTCTTGGTTAGTCTGTCAGACTCTACGTTGCACCGCTATGCAGTATTCGAATGCTCGAATCATTCAAGGAAATAGAGATATAAGCAGAGCACATGCGGAAACAGAAAAGCTCACTGTTGGTCGGGAGTCCGTCCCACAAATGGCGATGTGGGCTCTGAAGGGCAGGGGTATACCTCGTTGGGTGTTGTGGTCCAAGGCCACTCCGATCGTTGAACGCGACTCCGATCATCACGTGATTGACGCGCCTGTGGCTGTTGGAAATTGCCATGAATTTGTCGTTGCCAAGTCGTAGACCATGATGGAGTGCTTCAGCGCGTCGGTGTACTCATAGGGTGGCGCAGTGGCGCAGATTCCATGATACTGTTGTACACCAATTTTACGGTCTATCAATATTGGTTTTGCTGTAAGAAATTTGTCTAACTTTTGTGGGGACTATGCGGACATACACTCAAACTATCAATTTCAACGATGTCTGTATCTCATCCCACAATATATCTTTATCACTCGAACTAGTTGCAATCTGACATAGTCAGCGACGTGTCTACCCTGATACCCCAGTACCTGCTGGCTTGTCTCGCGAACAGAGCGGCCAGTGGCTGTCATGATTCATCCTGCGCCGATAAGATTGACTGCATACTTCAGGCTGAGGGTATCGACTTATCGCCGCCCTCCTATGTTTAGTACGCCGCAAGAGAGTCACACACTTCTCGCACGCACCGCACAACCTGCTAACCCGATGGCGCTCCGGAACTCAGTTTTTCGAGAGTAGCGATCCTCAACGCGCAGCCCAAACCGCAATAGTCGGTCTGTGACCGCAGACCACAGCATTTCTTGTCTTTGGGACCATTATCTCCAATGTCGTGCGGTGATCTCGGGCATGTCATCAAATATTCTCACATGAATGCCCCGAAACAGCAACGGCGGCCGCCACTCAGCTCCACGAACCCAATAGACCCACATGTCAGAGCTTTCATAATCTGTTGATGACATCAATATTACAGAGCAAGACCTACTGCTGTATGGACGCATCCCACAGATTTCCAGTCACAATAGGGAGATGTCAAAATGCGATCATGAGGGCTTGAGGACAGTCATTCAAAGCGGGAAACGTTGAACTTCATCAACCAGCATTGACAGAACACACCTATCCATCGACCTGTGTACCTTAACCGGGGCACTTGTGTTGTCAGACAAAGCCCATGCCAGGCAATCGCATCCAAATGTCAAATAGAACTGCCCATTAGGTTATATGGCCGCGTAGCGTGGCGGATGAAACTACTCCGGCAGCGAACAAAGTAGTTTAGAAGTTCAATTCGTCCAAGAGTCGACCACATAGTCTGGTATCACATGCGCAGACTCTGAGCTGCTAGCAGTGCTATCAGTTCAGGCCCACTACGTGGATGGCGACAGGGTAGCAGCTGTCGTAGTCGTAGCTGCTCTCGTTGTTCGATGAGGCACGGTAGACAACGTTGGTCTGGGTGCCGGACGTGCAGAGCGAGAACTGGTCGGTTTCACGGTTCACGGCGAGGATCGGGAGCTGACCGCTCTGTTCCGGGTCCGTATCCGCCTATAGAAATGACGAATGTACAACTCAGCTTCCTGAACTCAAATCGGGACCAAGAATGTAGGGCTTACCACTGCGCAGTACACCTGAGCAGCAGAGGGCACGGTACCGCTGCTGACCATGAACGTCGGTTCGTTGCCGGCGTCGACGCTCGTGTCAGCCGCGGAAACACTTCCGTTGGTGGCCTCGGCATTGGGAGTCAGAGCACCCTGAAGCAGCGAGAAGTTGGGGAAGTCGTTGTAGGGGTACGAAGCATAGGTCTTGTATGGCGCACGGGAACATCAGTTTATGACGCGAGCGCTAGCCACTTGTACACGTACCGACAAGACCATGGATGCCATCTGCTCCGATGTCCCAGCTTGGCCCAACACGAGCGGCACACCCGTCGAGTTCGTGTTGCTCGACGTCGTGTTGTAGGCGGCGAGCGTGAAGTTGTACGCAGTATCGAATGCGCCTCCGCCGAGGCCGGTGCACCAAGACGCGGTGCTGTGCTTAACAACCGTTGGCGCTGCATACGCCGCAGAGGCCAAGGCCAGCGAGAGAACACCGATAGCAAGCATTGTAAAAGAGCGAGAGGTAAGGAGAGGCAGGTGCGTAGTGCTTTGTTGGGAGGCAGACGAAGAGAAAAGTGGCCAAAGGTCCTACGCGACGCAGTCTTGGTATATTATATACGAGTGGCTCGGCATCTAGCTTCTCGGGCTTCTTCTATGCAACAGCCGAGCGACACCATGCGCCGAGCAACTTTGGGGTGCGGATGCTGCGGCAACTTGGAATACCCATTAGGTGCTTAAAGCCAGTATCTGAAGCAGTCATCATCTACTTACAACAAATTTCTTGTTTAATTTGCTTGTAATGAGCAGCCCCGGTGAAGAAATTTAGCGACCGCAACTCTGTAGATCATCTTCGCTGTCGAGTTTAGTAGAGCACGCCGGTGTGGTGGCCGACGCGCTAGCGTCACGGAAATCTACACGCGCGGACTCAATCACGGCAATTCTGATGATACTTTCTTGCGCTGATGGTATAGATCTTGAGATTCAACTAAGGGTGACATCACCTTGGTCCGTCAAACAGCTGGTACTGTACACCACTTATGAGATGGATGTCATGCGGTAAAGCAGGGTAAAGCGAGCGCATCATGGTTATTGTAGCTCATTGGTTTGAGCACACTGTTTGTACAGAATTGTAACTTCAGGCATGTATACATTCAGTCTGTGTATCCCAAATGCCGTCCACCTCTCCGTTCCCATAATAAAGTGTTTAGGGGGCCTGAATGATTAGCTGAACAGCATAGCAACTATTATAGTCGTATTGGTCATTGTTTTCTGACGTCGCTTTGTATATAACCTGGTTCTGCGGTGGCTGTTCAGCATCGACGCTCAAGCTCGTGCAGAGAGAGAAGTTCGCCGTGTCGCCGAAAACGGCGAGGTAGGCGTGCTGAAAGCCTGAAGGTGCACCGTCATCCTGTAGGCTTTGGATTTAGCACATGCAGAGACAGGAAACACAAGATGCACATGCCTGAACACAGTAAATTTCCGCCCCAGATTGCTCATTTTCGGGATCCGTGACTGCGAATCCGAGGCCATAGCCCGAGGTAACATTTGCATCGTAGCCCACGAGATTGCCGTTGGGAGCTGGAATGAGGGCGCCATTGATGAGCGAAAATTCTGGCCCCGACCAGATGTCAGGTGGGAAAGAGGCGTAGGTCTAATGCACGCGAAGATGCTTGCTCAGAATTTGGAAAAATGCGTCATGGATAATGTTCATTACTCACAGCGAGTACTGTGCTGGCCGCTGGGATCCAGTTGACATTGTTAGAGGCGAGAACTAACGGTGCGCCGGTACTATTCGCATTAGGCAGGGTCGTGTTCACTGCGGACAGCGTGAAATTGGAGAGGTTCTCGTAGACATGCAGTCCTCCTAGGCCGTAGCAAGGAGGGCTCCCGCTCTGGCGCACCGCAAGGTTCGGAGCGGCGGCGGCGGCGGATACGAGAGCAGATACAAGGGCAGCGGCAAGCATGGCGTAGAGTGGAAGTTAGGTTGCAATGTTCGTCAAGAAATGTCGCGGTACGGTATACTTGCAGCCCACAGGGACGCGTTATATACCTGAATTTCCAAAGGGTCATCGGACTTGCTGGCGTCGACGAGCCGCCCTGGAGGACAGGCACAGCGTCGCATCTTGACACGTCTCCACTGTACCGGAGACTAGAGCGCACCAGGTGGCCTCTCCATTCGCCCGTGTCCTCTCGGACATGAGAGCGGGAGGCACACTTTACCTAAGGCGCAGGCGTGTCGCCGGTGTCGCATCATTGGGCACATTGTTGTAACGCAGTTGCAGCCATATAAGGGGCTGTTCTGCGCGCCGCCGCTGTGAAGAACAGTTTGTCATAGCGCCCTGCTGTCCGGGCTTTGAAATGGGCCTGGGATGAAACAGCATATTAGTCTGTGTGCTAGCCACTCTTATGAGTGAAGTGTAATGCTGTTTGCGTCATTTAAAATGTACCTAGCGCTAAAATTGACGTGCGCGTCGTTCCTGAAATGCGAAAGTGTGCGCTGGCGATAACTCTGGCTGATACACCTGGGCAAGAGTACAAGAATGAGCATATGACTGGCCAAGCCAGACATGCGCGAGATGCAGCCATGAATAAATTGACGATGTACGGCAACGTGTCTGGTATTAACAAGTCTAAAAGGCTAAACAAGCGCCCATTATGTCTGCCGTGAAAGGTCGCACGTGCGTATGGGAATTCTGGGGTTGGGAGCGACGGACTCCGTGATGTGAACCGTTTACGGACTTGTATTCCCTCAGCGCAGGTATCTTTAGCGTTTGGTCGCTACAAGCTGTTTCGCGTTCACAACGACAATATGCACAGAGAAAGGGACCCTGATCCATGACTCAGTGCCGACACCTCGGAAGCTGACACGCAATAGATTGGATGCGTTTAATCGCGGCATCTACGTCACATTCATATCAGGTATGCCTCACATATATTCTATCATTGTTGAGCAACCTAGTCGCCTTCTTCGTAGGCCAAGAACATCATACAAGCGCCCTGAAAGAGAATGAGTATCAGTGACAACTTTGCCATGAAAAGAGGTCGGCCACAGCATGCAAACATATACATGTACGGGGTGTTTGTCAATCAGATCAAACTACTCTTGGAGTTTATTGGATTTGATCGTGGCTTGAGGTAATGCGCCAATGTGTGCTAATGTTGACTATCCCGCTACCACTCTGCGTGCAGCTATTCCCGATCTGTGTCCCGATTTAGAAAACATCGCGGTCCTCTGACTCTTACATCCACATCAGGCTAGTGGGATACGTCGGTAGGACATAACGCGAGTAAGTGCAAGTATTCCAGTGAGTAAAATCGGTCCTGCTTCAACAGTATTTTGTGCTTCAGTCGTCGCGTAAGAGCGACTACCTATCTCCTTCGCGAAATGACTGAACTCATTCTGCTTGCTCACGCAGCCGGTTGTAACATGCACCGCATCGGATTACGACACTTCTCCAGTCTCGTCCTCATGGGATCCCGTAGATTGCAACGGCGCACATATTCAAGGTAAATTTGGCATTCCAGCTGTATGTGCCCTCAATTTATTAGCCTGCCTTACGGAGTACCCATGTTCCGCCGATCGAATTTGGAATACGAAGGTCGTTATCAGCCATCGCCATGTTTAAGCTCGACGATGGAAATTCACGGGGGCCTCGTAAGGACGTCATATGAACGGTATTTTTTATTCGGCTCCGGTGTTAGCTTGACTAATCTTATTGCAAGTAAGCGTTGACATCAGAGGGTCACCTCACAAGGAGGACCAGATCGTAGGCCTGATATCTGTGCCAGATAAAGTGCCAGTCCAGCGGTAAAATAAGGTTCGCCCACCGTGATATCACTGTCTTTGCCGTCATCGGCGAGTAGGTGAGTAGTGTACACCCCTCTTGCAGTACTTGAGAGAACAATCATGCAACTTCTAATGACTACGTATAGATCTAGAAGTACCTGCTCAGGTCCGTTTCGAATTATTAGGCAGTGTCGACTTCTGTTCACTTTCTGTTGAGTGAACCCCCTTCGCAACATCGGTGCCTTGCGGCCAAACGTCATAACTCCAACGCATAGAAACGGGGTGTTAAGACTTTGTGACGTGGTGAGTAGCTTTCAACTTCACCTCCACAAACTGCGCGACTTCTATCCCAACTCTGGGCCACGTCCGTCCATCCAGCCATATGCTTGGGCCTTCTGCTGACGTTAAATGCGGAATTTATGCGCTCATCGTGAAGGCGGACCTACGTGAGAGCGACTCCCTTCGATGCTCCACCCGTGATAGACGACCCTGATTTCTGCATCCCGACCAACCTCCGGTTCGATGTGCGACCGTTCGGAGGAAGGCACTGCCGTGCAATAGGCCCCTTAGTATATATGTGCTCTCTCCGTATCCGAAAGCCCAAACATAAGCATCCGTGTCGGAATTGCCTCAGAGCTCCGAGGATATTTTCTCTATCCAACCCAGAGGATGGGGTTTCATAACATGCGATTCTAGCCCTCCTAAGATCTAGGTCTTGTGTCCGTGAACAACGCATTGCCATGGGAATTGAACAACAACGTTGCAGATTGTCGATGTTCCCAGCTCCCGCCGAGTAGTGGCCGATTGGCTTCCGTCCTCCCTCGTGACCCTTAGGTGCGTTTTGCAAAGTCTGTTTCTCGCTGCCGACCAATCACGGTTCTCGAATGCCCAGCAAACCCAAACCTCCACCCCCAGACCTGGGACAGAATCGGTTGTCGAGGCTGAGAATCTCACTTAGTATGCTGCATGCATTGCGTCGCACGCCCATCGTTCAGCCTGTGGTCTGAACCCGGGCGGCAAGACGCTTTCTTTCTATGCCGTTGGAGGTACCTTCGCCTTGATCCGCTGTTGCCACTTGAGGTTCGCCTCGTTTTTCCTTCGGGGATGTCGGTCTCCAAGAACACGCAGTGCGACTGCTCCAGATGTGCATTGGTGCAGAATAGGCCCGCCTCGTATGGCCAGCTACTCTGGGCTTTACTCCGGTGCGCGACATCGCGGTCTCCACTTATTATTGAGCTGTAATGCATATGACAATCGTATCAAAGAATATGTTATATTGGGGCGCAACGGGTACGTACGTGGTAAGGTATGTCGTATCTTACTTGTCCTCACGTATTCAATCCAAACTAGAGACATAAGGGTGTATGTACGCCTCGAGGTCAAATGATCACGGGGGCTTATGCCAGATGGTACCTAGAGATCTGCGAGAATTGTCGGTGAGATGACTGATCATCAGGGTCTCTGGAACCCACCGGGATTTACAAGGAGAACATTCATAAGGCTTAGCTTTCTGCCTTTCGAAATCGACGACTCATGTGACTAGTGATGCATTGTAGTCATGACATCGGAAGGCACCCATCCCAAGAAGCTTCGCAAAAAGACGGCCACTAGGTGATCATACAGCTGTATCGGCTCTTGTGGAGCTGCCCAGCATTTTCGTCGCCGGACTGGAAGAAGGGACTCGGTGCCTTATCTTCCCTAACATGTCCTTCCTGATAGGATCTGATGCCACGGTCGCGGCTATGGCCACCTCCACGATTGCTCAAGAACGAACGCCCATGGTGAGTGGGTGAGGAGCAGCTGCGCAGCTACCACTCAGCGATCTGCTGTAGAATGCTGGTCAATTGATCAACTAGACTCCTCTAGTCTGTCTTATCTAGGCACATTACAATCGAAGAACCAAGGTCGCCAAGGTAAGGGTAAAGTACAGTGTGCACTGGGAATCCCAAGTCACGTAAGATTTCCCGATGAAAAATAACACATATCCCACGCAAACAGACGTATGGCAATATCACACACGGTCGCCTCATCGCCCGACCAATGTCCACAACATTATCGTTATCGCTTCCTCTACAAGCAATATCAACCCCTTGACTGGGCCCGAGTTTGCGTTCTGTGATGTGTAGGTTCATTTGTTTTACAGCCCGGTAGTTGTGCCAGCCCGCAGAAGCTAGCTTCCTCGAAATGTCCTTTGAATTGCATTATCTGCTCCTGCCAGAGCGTAATTTGAAGGGCCGAAATGCCAGACGTTGACGTATTCCCCACCAGTAGAAAGGTGGCAGGTAAGCCGGTCACGAAACGTTGCCACTGTCTGGTATCTAAACCCTCAGACGAATGGCATACTGTTCACCTCGGATGCACGCCACCGTCACAGAGCATATATATCACTCATGTTCAGGAACCTCGGATATGATAGTTGACAGATACGTTTACAGGCACGTTCCCCCAACCGGATTTGTGTCATGACTTTATGCCGATAGCGCCCATAACGCGGCTGTTGGCCGAGTACTACTCGTGGCTACAAAACGCTCTTATTAGGTAAGCATTTATGATTGCCCTTGGGAGTGTGCGTGAACTTTCCGATCTGGGTGAAAGTTGCACGGATATAGATAGGACCGGCGAATGTTTCGGAGTCTGGACTCCCGAGCCTCGAGATCACCCAAATGCTTGAGGTAAAGCGACTGTATATGTAAGGGTATCTTAGCTTAATCTCCGGTGCCGTGTCGGCTTATGTAAAACGAAAGCAAATCAGATCCTTGAAACTTTGGCAATTGTTCAAGGGAGTCACACCGGGTTAATCAAATTGTTCTGGAGTCGACCTTATTCAGCTCGGTGTGTGACATCTCCTCTTCGATGAGGACATGGGGGCAGAGCCTGATAAAAATCTACTAGCTTCCTTGATTATCAGTCATAGTCGATGCCTCGAGGGTCAAAGGCGTTATGCTCCGCGACCAACATGTGTTTCACCAATGAGGTAATCCAGCATCTTTTGTAGACAGGGAAGCGCCGTCCCAGAGGCGCCAATTCCGGCTCAATGCTTAGTTGGTGTGATGTTTTCTTTCAAGCAAGCTCAGACTTGCCGCTTGCCCAGATCGAGATGCCTGCAGCCGCGGTATGCGCCATCGCCGACGGACGCATCATGGACGTTCGTGTCTGCGGCAAAAAGCAAACGGGATAGTGTCTACGCCGAGTGGTGCATTCCCTGCTGTCAATCAGGCGCGCGATAATCGCACCGTCCTACCCTTGCCACATGTTGCGGAGACTTGACGACGTCGACTTCGGTGAGTGTGACATCCGTCTGCGAAGGCTGGGCCTGCGGTCCAACCGTGACTGGATCCCGAACAATTTGACTAGAGCGCGCGAGAAGCTCGGGACTGACGTATACGGGTCCCCGAGAACCGCAGTGTATTGTTGCTGGGTCCTATGGCTGGAACTTCCGTGCAGGTTGCCATGATCAGGATCAATCTCAACCATTGCTGTGTCGTTGGGCGTTTCCGTGAACCGATTCCCAAGGACACTTCTACCCGGTCGTCTGGGCCGCTCTGACACGGAAGATGAATGCATGTGTAATCTGCGGGTGTAAGGTGCACGAATACAGCTTGCGTTATCGGCGTGTCAAGCTATGATTAATGACTACGGACGGCGCTAGGGTGTGCATCTAGATATTCATCAAGGCACAGAAAGACGCATCCGCTCAGGGTTTGTGCTCGGGGAAGCCCCAGTGGAGTAGACCCTACAATATATAATCGCCGCGACTACAGCGCTAGCCCTCCAGACCTCAGCTTGCACAATGTCGATCACTCTCAACAGGATCCCCGTGCTCCCCACGTCCCTCTACGTCGAGGGCAGTGTTGGACGTCCTTCTGCCACCTTGGCAGGCATCCTACACGGGGTGCAGCAAGCGGCCCTCAAGAGTCCGACAATAGCTGCTTGCGTTGCGGTCAATGTCGTGGTCATGTATTACATTGTGTCGTTCCTTATGAGCAGGGTATGTTGTCCAGTCATACCACCGTGCCATCGTTGCCTGACAGTGTATAGAATACGACACCGCTGGTCGGTTATCCTCGATGGCTCGGCTCGTATGCCGGCGCCCTGCGCTTCTTTGTTAACTCGCAGGGTATGGTCGACGAGGGCTACCGCAGAGTGAGATCCACTCCATGTACGGTAGTATGTGATCTGACGTCACATAGTACAAGGGCAGATTCTTCCGCCTTCCGCTGTGGACCAACTGGAATTACATCGTGACCAACGAGAAATGCAGTACGTCTCATCGCTACATGCGCTATTTTGGTGCTGATAGTTGACTAGTCGAGGAGATGTATCATCTTCCCGATGACGTCCTGTCCCTGCGCTATGCTGCTCATGACGTGGGTCGATGATGTATGGGCCAAATGGGTCATTACTCACTATACATCCAGGAACTCGCAGTGCCCTACACAATGGGTCAGCAGATACACGACGATCCCTACCATTTGCCTATTCTCCGCGGCAAAGTACGCCTTATCTTGTGATTCGATTCCCGTTCGTGCTCACACGAGACCCAGCTCACGCGTTATATCGACTACTTGGTGGCAGAATGCCTCGATGAGTTGCCGATGGCCGTGGAAGACGAAATCGGCAAGAAGTGCGGTGGTGCGTGGGCTTCCTGCTTCCTAGTTCCCCGAGCTGCTTCTGATATCGCTTAGATTCATGGCAAGAATTCAACGCCTTCGATGTCTCCATCGGTATCGTTGCCAGAACATTCAATCGTATTCTAGTGGGAGCCCCAACATGTAAGATCCTGCCGTTGCATGGGAAGCGAGTTTCTCATGCTTTACCAACAGGTCGCAGCGCCCATTACACTGAGACCTGCAAGTCGTTTGCCATGAATACCGCTATGATAGGGCTTCTCATCAATCTTTTTCCTTCGTTCCTTCACCCGTGAGCTATCTCTTGACGTCTACATGATCTGCTGGGGCTCAAGCTTGGTGCAGAATCGTCGGCAGATTATTCACGCGTCTGCCTTATCTATTGAGGCGGACCCTTGTGGATTTGGGCCCCATCATCGCCGAGAGGAAAGCGGCGAAGGCAGAATTTGGCGATAATTGGACAGATAGGCCGGTGAGTCTTTTGCGTGCTCGCGTTCTGTTGCAGAAATTGATTACAGTCAACTTCGCAAGAACGATCTGCTGATGTGGCTCATGGACGCAGCCAAAGGTATTGAGCAAGAACCCGCGCGTCTCGCTATCAGGGTCCTGGTCATCAACATTGCTACCATTCATACAACAGCGGCGGTATGAGTTCCTTCTGTCATCTGTTCGGCATCGTTTGACATGGAATGGAAGACGTTCACGCATGGCGTAAATAACCTCCTGGACCACACGGAGTACATTGACGCATTGAGGGAGGAGGCGGAATCTGCGCTACATTCCCATGGCTGGACGAAGCAGGCTATCAATCAGCTTGTCAGGTCAGACAGCTTTTTCAAGGAATCATCGCGATTGAACGGACTGGGAACAAGCAAGTTGTTCTATTACATTCTATTCTTGCCCTTTCCCTGACCTGTCCGGCAGTGAGCTTCCCGCGAAAGGCTCTGCGTGACATCACTTTCAGTGACGGGACGACTGTGCCTGAGGGCTCCTACATCTCGTCGGCGTGGTCTGTCCACACTGACGAGGAGTATTGGCCCGACCCGATGACGTTCGACGCGTTCCGACACATTCAGGACAACACGGTCGGCGGCAAGGCTAACAATAGCAGCGGGTTCATTCGCACGAACTCGCGATATCTCATCTTTGGTCACGGCAAATATCCATGGTAAGCGCTCTTTACCCAGCATCCTTCGGCATGTTGTTAACGTTAGTTTAACAGCGTACGTCCTCGGCCTCTGATATACTTGTGTGATATCCGCTGATCGTTGATTCTGGCACAGCCTGGTAGATTCCTTGCGACCTACATCTTGAAGGCAACGCTGGCCCATATTCTGTTGAACTATGAAATCAAGGCGAGCGAGCAGGGAAGGCTGCCCGATATCTTGTTTCAGTACAATCGCAGCCCAAACGTCAGGTCAACGTGAGTAATTCTACATAGCCTAGATGGGTTATGAGCGCATCTGATATTCTGCCATCAGCTTCATGATACGTCGCCGGAAAGTTGCATAACTTGCATCCGTGCTCGTCGGTGGATGTGTTCTCAGTTGCCCGTCTCACAGCATTCTTTCTCGCCCATCGCGGACGTTCTACAGTCTCTACACTATCGCTATCAATTGCTCCTCGCTTCTATAATATTTTGCTGCTCGATGTACAGTATAATGCGCATCGTCGGACAATGTCAGTTCCCTTATTCCGTAGGGCTAGACGGGGTTTTAGATTTGTATTTCTATTATCATTCACATGTTTGACCTGATGTGAGACAATGCCACCGACTTAGTTGGTTGTGAAATACATTTGTTTACCGCGCTCCGCGATATTGCACATTTCTGAGCGGAAGGGCGATGGCATGATCGTTCCCTGTTTAAGCGCCCCATGTTGACGGCGCCCGTATTTACCCAGTGCTATACATGGAGTTTGTCATGTTTCATTCCGGGCCGTCGGGCGAGCTGTGGTTGGAATCTGACTATCGAGGAAACAACTTACGCCAGCTGGGAACTACCCGCAGATCGTCCAGGCCCGACAGGGTCGACGACCTGAAACGAGCGGTGTCTGCTGTATTCGGTGGCGGCACAATCACCGCAGCGTCTACCAGGGATGAGCGTGACGAATTCAGGTGAAATGACATTCTTCGGCTATAGCTGCGACACGCGGAGCATACTGTATGTCCGAGACATCTGGCTCGCAAAAGGTGCGTCACGGGTAATCGGACACCAGGAAAACACGAGTGGGGGCTGCGAACGTAGTATTTCCCACATTTATTGGATCGCGCCCAAGTTGGCGCCTGCCATACAATTCAGGCACAAAGACGCGAAGGCTCGAGGCGGCGAGCTGAAAAGAGGGACACGGCGAACTGGCAGTGGGACGTAAATGCATGCGTCATACGTCTCCACAGACCGATGGGCTCGCGCGCTGCGCTATGAATCGTAGAGAAGGTGTCGACGACGATGGAGCTTCGACACTGGCAGTGGCGTTTTCTCAGGTTGTTGCATGCGCAGGTGGTCCCGACAATCGCATTCGGGGCTGCGCATCAGGTAACAGTCAGGGCTGCAGGCACATCATGATACTTGCCTTCGAGGATGCGGCGGCGTGTGCATTGTGAGGCCGGCGGACCCTGGCGGACCCCAAGTAGCCCGACGCGTTACCAGCGGGAGCGTTTCCAATTTGTTTTTCAGCAAGCGAAATTGGTATTATCCTATGGGCTGGAATGTCGGAACTTCGGAAGTTCATCATATAAGGTATCATCGAAGTCACAAGAATATTTCACTATTTCAGGGTCAAGCAGTGCGCTCGTCCGTGGACTCCGTCGGGGTACATCGAGATAGATTCCTATCGTGCCCTGGTCGGATGGGATGGTGCCGTTTGACTGACATGGGTATTTTGGAGAGGACGTTGCACTGGCAGGTTACACAGCATCTTGCATCGAGATGACAAGGGTGCACGGGACGCCCAGGGACATCTATCTGTTCTCAGCCGGCGGCAGCCTTTCCCGACACTTCATCTCTAAGTCTCACCTCATATGCAAGTTTGTACACACAGAGAGAACTGTGAGAATGAGCTCAGATCGACCCCGACAACCTACCCTCACAGACAGCACTTCAGGCAAACATGGGGCAGACGTTACAGTATACTGTGGTAGCGGTGCAGTACTCGTCTTTGAGCCTCGCAGAGACCTCGCCGCACCTCCGCATAGCGGTGCAGACGCTCGTCTCGCATCGCAGCCCGCTGATATCCTTCCACAGTGCGCGATGGTGCGTATTTGCAAGTTCTCCCAGGGAGGTCTCCAGATGTTGGAATTGTCGTAGCACGGGCATCGACTCGTGATAGGACACCAAGCTCAGGGCACAATTTGTCAGCGAGATCCACCGGCAGCGATACTAGCCTTCTACAGTAAGCATTACCTGTCTAACGACCAACTGGCGCCGCGCCCCTCCCTGTGCGTCGACCGAGACATGTCAAATAGGTGTATATGGTGCACTGAGGCAAGCTCGACGTTGATCGCCTGCCGATCCCCAGATCGTCTCACCGATCGTAAATGAAGCATGTCGAGCAGGACCGACAGTGAGCGCCCTCGGTGTGGGTGAATCTCCCGACTGCCGCCACAGAGGCGCGCCCCTCGTTGAGTGTTTCAGAGGAAACCGATATATGGTGACGGCGAACGGGAGGCCTGCAAATTTGCGAGTTACGGCGTAAGGCCGCTAGGTCTAGAGCATCGTTGAATTGTTGAATCGCTGGGCAAAGCCAAGACGGAGGACGGGGAACCGCAAAGACGACGTGTCTGCAGAGGAGCCAGGCATTCATGGGACCGTTCGGGTCAAGGATAGCAACGTCCACCGTCGCGCCGCAGAGACAGTGTGAGATGCCAAGACGGTGGTCGGGACCTAGAAGGCTTCAAAATCTCCGCTCAGGCGAGTAGAGGTTATGGCAGATAAGTCGGAGTTGGTGATGGAAGTTGGCGCTGAGGCGACATGATGGTGGAGTATTCTCGCTCCTACAGTAGCCGATTCAATTGACACCGACGTCGGAACGCCACAGGACTCAGGACTAGTAGTACTCAGGAAAAGCCCGCCATCTACTCGAACCATGGTGCATTCCATAAATGCTTAGCGTTGCGGTCTATCAGCATTCCCTGCAAACTGACAGAGGGCCCGCCACCAATGCATTCAGTTGATGGCATCTTCACCCCTAGACACGCACGAATACGGCCAGCCGATGCACGGGAGCGAAGGGAATAATTGCTAGCTGTGGCAGGCAGGTCTCACATTCTGATCAACAACAGAACGATAGCGTGCACACGCGTGTCCAGAGCCTATGACGGCAGGATAGGAACAAACATGTCTACAACACACATGCAGAACACATTGCCGGAGATCTCCATCCTGGACTTGCATCCAGCTACCGTACGAGCGTGCTGGCAAAAAAGGCGTGCAGACGTCACTCGTCAGAACCGCCGTAAGGCGGAGCGAGAACATCAAGCACAAGACACGCAGCACGCGTAGCGCGTCCACCATACCTCGGATAAGAGCATGACGTAACGCTGGACATTACGCCAGGTTCCTGCATTGCACAGTGCGTCTTCAGGGCTCCTCGCAGAGGCCCGACGCCCTCGGAAACGGGAGCAGCGTAGACGGCGTCCCATCGAGGACACGCCCACTAGCATTCGCTTGGCCTGCCGCCAACGCCCGGGCCCGCTCACCTCGCATCTTACCCAGGCCGGCCCCGCCGAGGACAGCGGCGCCAGAAGACCGCGGTCACTTGGGAGTCCCTGCATCGCGCCAGGAACTCCTGTCCATCGCCGTCCGTCTTCGACCTTCGACTTCCATGGCGGCCAGATTGCGCCTCCGCGATGCATTATGAGCATGATAGTGGCATGGTAGGCTGCGCCATGCGGGCCCGCGCACGATAGTGGTTCGGGTGCGCTGATCACAGGGAGGCGTGCCCGTTGTTGACATCTCTGCACAAAGGCAAGGGAAATGGCCGGGGAACCGGATAGACGCGAGAAGCGGTGTCTCGAGGCGCTGCCTGCTGGACCGTGCTTGCCCCGGGCTGACGCTCTGGGAAACTACCGGCGCGGCCACATTTGGCCCGCTGGCGCCGACAGACGGAGCGGATCATCAGACACACGCGCAGCAGCAGACGGTGGGCAGGGACGGCGTGCACGCTTGTGCAGCGGATTCTGGGAAGCCAGGCCTGGGAACGGCGATCTGCACACGGCACCTATGCGCTGCGTGAAAAGCCGAGGCCGGGTGCATTACAGTAGTACGTACGGACGCCAGCCAACCGAGGCGGCCCGAGCAGGGATGTACGATGTACAGCAGAGAATGGGTGTCGGTATTTCGCGCGGAGACGGCCGACCTTGTCTTGCCTTTATGCAGGCTGGCGACAAGACCCCTGACAATCAGTGATGTTGTCGATTCACCGTGTGACTGGCGTTTGGTCGCCCCATGCCAGTGGAAACGACTGCACACGATGGCGACTATTCTCACGGTGGCCGCGAACGCGACGATGTACAGTAGCACATGAGCGATTGGCTGTGCCATTATCTGACTTGCTCTACAGGATGTGCGACTGCAAGCTTGCCTGCGGAGATGCGTGAGAAAAGTCGCGACTGTCATTCCGTCGTCGACTTGTTGTTCCGTTGTTTCGTCGTCAATTGATCATCCCCAGTCGAGTCGTGGGAGCGACCGGGTCGACTGGCAGACGACCAGCACAATGTCTTGGGAATGGCTTTCAGGAGGGGGTGGAGGTTGATCATGCTGTCGCATCGGCTTATTTTCAGGACATCGCGCGCGCGCACACACAACACAGGATATGGATGTCTGGGATGCCGTCTCAGCGCTCCGCGCCGATCTGCAGGAACGTCGCTGCCCAGCGCGGCCCACGGGAGGCCGGGGCGGGGGCCGTGATCTGCGCGAGAGGAGGCCGACGGGAAGGAAAAGAAGGAGCGCCCCGATTGTGCCGTGCGTCGTATGCGGCCAAGGGCCACGGCGTCACGCGACCCGCGTCCCTCCAAGCACGGATCGCCCGCGCGGCACTGCAGCTTGACGCAGGCACGCGCAGGCATCCTCGCCCGGCCGCACGGTGCATTTGGTGGACGTGCTACCTGCATGCGCCTGGGTGGGCAGGACGAGGGGACGGGGAGATATCGCAGGGCTGCGTGTGCGGGAACGATCCCAGGGGTTGGTGCACCGAGGCATGGGTGTGTGCGAGGAGACTACATTTGACGACCAGCGGGGACAGACGTGGAAGCAGGCAGAAAGCAGAACAAGGCGCAGGCGTCTCTGCACCGCTGAATAGGACCGCCCGCCCGTACCCGTACCCCGTCTTGTGCTGGAGACGACAGGACGGGGAAGCGGGCGGCTAAGGACATTGCGTTGACATTGACCCACCCACCTTGGACCATTGGCATGCGCCCGCTGAGCGAGAACAAGTGTCAAAGCGCATGATGCGCTGCCACCGTGACCTACCACTCGATGCCGTCTCGATCTCAAGCACAGTCTGCAGTCCGGAACGGAAACAAACAAACAACGAGGAGCGGACGAGGTCCATGTCCCTGTCCACGCACCCCAAACTGCGAGTTTCGGTTGTGAGCGGGGCATGCCAACAGGTAGAAAGCAAGAGAGAGATGGGGCGGGGGGAACGCTGGATGTCCTCTTTGTGTTTGTGTGGGCGCTCGCGGCATGCTCATCTGCTTCCAACTTCCAAGCTTCATTCGACATCCGGTGCTCGATGCTCGATCGGCGTGGCCCGGCACACGACCCGCGCTTTGCAGGGCGCATCTAGAGTCCCAATCCGCGCACCGCGGGCTCGCACACGTCCCCGGGCGCGCGTCTCACAGGCGTCCTCGCCCGTCCAGCAGAAGGACGCCTTGTGGCGGACATGCCCCGCTCTGCGCGCGCGATGTGGGTGGGCAGGGAGGGGGGGTGCCCCGCTGCGCGGGAATGCTAGCATGTGCATGGGGGCCGGTGCGGGCGCGCGCGGAGACTGCCTTTGATGAGCAGCGAGGGCCAGCGGGGACGCAGAGCGAACCACAGGCTCGAGGCTCGCAGCGTCTCTGCATCACTGGGTGGGCCCGCGCGCGCGATGATGCGTGCGGACCCCGCCTGTGCAAGACACACGTCCGCCCGTACCCTATCTTGTGTCGAGTGTCGGAGACGCAGAGGAGCCGCGGGAACCAGCCAGGAGCCAGATACCCAGCCCGGTAGACCGCAGCCATGGAAAGCGAGGCAGAGCGGGGAGTGGAGTCTGTTGCGTGCTGTCAACGGCGGTGTGCGGTCATCGTGCGTCACCGTTGTCATGACCGGGGTGAGGCGGGTAGCGGCGGCTGGAAATGCCCGCAGACGAGCAATCACGCGGGCCGGGGCGGGAGTCCGATGTGCGCGGGCGCGAGGGCGTAAGAGGGGGATATTGCCTGTCCGCCTGTCTGCCTGTCTGTCGTCTGTCGTCTGTCCGCCTGTCCGCCTGTCTGTCATCTGTCCGCCTGCCTGCCTGTCAGCCTGTCATCCGTTCGCAGTGCTACGCGACGGGGACATCGGGGTCTGGGCGCTGCACCTGCACTGGTAGTTGTAGGTCGCGGCGGCGCTGCGTGCAAATCGCCAGCCCCGCCGCGCTCCCTGTGGACGTCGGCGGTCATGGTGCTATGGGGGACGCGGGAGCGGGAGCGCGAGTGCGGCATGGTCTGGGATCTGGGCTGGCAGACGTGCTGCTCAGTGTTCAGTGTACAGGCGTCGGCCGCACGTGCGCACATGCACATGGGAATATAGGGACATGAACACAGGAATATAGGAACAGGCGCACAGGAATATAGGAACATGCGCACATGGCAGCGGGCGCGCCGGCAGCGACACGCGACACGGACTGGGGACGCCGAGCGGGTGTCGTCGGGTCCCGGCTGGGGCATGAGAGCGGGTGAGCGCGCGCGAGTGCATGAGTGCGTGAGCGGCCCGTCCGTCCTCCGTTCGTCCGTCCGTCCTGCGCACGTTGGCATGAAATAGCGACGTCTGGACTGGACCTGGGCGGGCGCCGTCCTCGTGTCTCCGGTCTCCGGTCGCGGGTCGCGGGTCGGGGTCTGGCCCATAGCCCATAGCCTACAGCCTACAGCCTGGGATGGAGGATGGAGGATGGGGCGCCGCGTCGGGGGTCGGGGGTCGGCAGTGATCAGATAGGAGGGGAAGGGGGG